CTTTTAATACCTTTGGTTTTGGTATTTGAGTGATGCTAATATAGAATGAGGGAGTATATTCTCACTTCCATTTCTGAAAGACATTGTAGAGAATTATTAGAATTTCCTTTTTAAATGTTTTGATATTTTGTTGAACTCAGCAGTGAAACCATCTGAGTCTGGTTATTTCTGTTTTGCAAGTTATTAATTATTTACTCAATTTCTTTAAGAGATGTACACTTATTTGATTTATATATTTCTCCTGTGTGAGCTTCAGTAGATTGTATCTTTCAAGGAAGTGGTCTATTTCATCAATATTATCAAACTTGTGGCATAGAATTTGTTCCTAATACTTTTATTATCTTTCTAATGAGATCAGTACTGATGAACTACTCTTTCATTTCTGATATTAGTAATTTGTGTTTTTTGTCTTGTTTATCCTAGCTAGGCGTTTGTTAATTTACTGGCCTTTTCAAAGAAGTGGATTTTGGTGTTACTGACTTTGTCTATTGAGTTCCTTTTAAAATTTCATCTGTCATTTTTATTATTTTTTTCTGTTTATTTTATATTGTACTTTTAATAGTTTACTGAGGAAGAGGCTTAATTTGTTGATTTTAGAGACGTTTTATAATATATACATTGAATTCTAGAAGTTTCTAAGCTCTGCTTTATCTATATTGCATAGTTTGATAGGTTGCATTTTCATTTAGTTCAAAATATTTTTAATGCATTTGAGAATTCTTCTTTGACACATGTATTAAATAGAAGTAAGTTGTTTAATATCTAGATATTTTGGGATTTTATGCTGTAGTTTTGTTATAGATTTCTAGTTTAATTCCATTGTTAACACAGAGCATACTTTGTGTGATTTGTATTCTTTTAAATTCATTACAGTGTATTTTATGCCCCCTCCACAAGTGTTCTGTCTTGGTGATTGTTTCATGTTAACTTAAGAAGGATGTGTGTTTGCTATTATTGAAGCATTATAGGATGTTAATTAGATCCATTTTGTTGATAGTGCTGTTTAGTTCAACTGTATCTTCACTAATTTTCTGCCAGCTGGACATATCACTTAACTGATAAAGGTAGGAAGAGTTTAACTGTTATAGTGGATTCATCTTTTTCTTGTTGTGGGTATATCAAGTTTTGCCTACTATACTTTGAATCTTTGCTGTTAGGTACATGTAAGTAAAGATTGCTATGTCTTCTAGGGGAATTCACCTCTTTATTATTATGAAATGCCCTTCATTTCCTTGATTATTTTCCTTGCTCTGAAGTTGGCTTTGTTTGAAATGAATGTAGATAATTTAATTTCTTCTTGTTACTGTTAGTATATACATCTTTCTCCATCCTTTTACTGTTAGTCTATTTTTAAATATATATTTTAAGTGGATTTCTCTATATATAACAATTGTTGTGTTTTTCTCTCAAGTTTTTTCTAATTGCCTTTGTCTAGTTTTTTTTGCAGTTTGAGTGGGATAAACTGAGGTGTAAATTCTTCAGCATTATATGATTTATTCCTTTCGAAAATTATATTGAAATCTGTTTTCCAGTTTAACAGTGTTTAGAGGTAGGACCTTACGAGGTTAATTAGGTGGTTTAGAGGGATTGATAACAGTCCTCATAGAAATGAATTAGTTACATAAGAGAGGGTCATTATAAATCAAGGCAACCCTTGTTGTTTTGTATTTTCCACATGCACCTCAGCAGAATCCAGCAATTATAAGCAGAATTCAGCAATTATAGTTAAGTGTTTATACAGATAAACAGGTTTCTGCTACTGGGCCTCTGCTCATGGTAAGCTATGATGCTCTGTGTTTGCTTATCAGTCTGTCTGGTTTTATGGCAGCCATTTGGCCTGTGACTTTAACTCTTCAGTGGCTCCAGGGAGAGTTGTTAATTTTCAGTTTATTCAGCCTTTTTTTTTTTTTTTTTTTAGTGTGAGAATGGGAATGACAATTTCCAAGCTGTTAACTGGTTGGACTGGAAATTAGAAGTTTCTCATAAACTTTTTGGAATGCAAGAACATAGGAGTCATCGTGAATGTTAATTTTCTGTCAGAGAAATATGTGAAATAATTACCTTTTTATATTATCAATTCTTTTTAAAAAATTTATTTATTTTGCATTAAGATTCTTAATATACCATTATACATTGAATTATCATATCTCTTATTAGTCAATTCTTAATTTATTGTTTCAACATGAATATTAATTATGTCCGCATACTTTCAGATTTGATTTTATCTAAATATTGGCAATAAGGATATGAATAATTTATATTCAATAATATTTAAAGATATATAAAGTATACTGCAGTATGTATAATATGTATTTTATTTGGGAAGATTATACAAATGTTTATATATTTAATATGTAGGTATTTTGTAAAGCCCAGAAATGATTTCTGGTTTAGTAATTAAATTGGAAACCAAATTAATATCAATGTGTTCAGGATAAAAATTTTTATCCCTGATTAAGAGCAACATGATTTTAAAAAATCTTATATTTCCCTATCTTGCTCTAGCTTCTGCATATGAGATTTTTGATTTTTGAGTTTGGCTTTTTTTTTAATTTAGCATGATATTCTCCATTCATTTACCAGCAAATGCCATAATTTAATTCTTTTTTTTTTTTTTTTTTTTGGTGGTGCTGGGGATTGAACCCAGGACCTTGTGCATGGGAGGCAAGCACTCTGCCAACTGAGCTATATCCCTATCCCAATTTCATCCCTTTTTAATGGCTGATTAGAACTCCATTGTGTGTGTGTGTGTGTGTGTGTGTGTGTATTTGTGTGTGTGTGTATTTGTGTGTGTGTGTGTGTGTGTGTGTGTGTGTGTGTGTGTGTACCACAGTTTCTTAATCCTTTCATCTATTGTTGGGCATCTGGGTTGATTCCATAATTTAGCTATAGTGAATTGTGCTGCTATAAACATTGAGATGGATATATTGCTGTAATATGCAGATTTAAAATCTTTGGAGGAAATACCAAGGCATGGGTCATATGGTGGAACATCCCTAGTCTTTTGAGGAATCTCCATACTACTTTCCAGAGGGATTGTAGTAGTCTGCAGCCCCCCAAATAATGTACAAGTGTACATTTTCCCTACAACCTGCCAGCATTTATTTTGTTCATATTCTTGGTCATTGCCATTCTGACAAGAGTGAGATGAAATCTTAGTGTAGTTTTGGTTTGCATTTCCCTGATTGCTGGAGATGTTGAATATTTCTTCACATATTTAAGACCAACATGAATTTTTGCATATTATCACAAAGGACTTCTTCAGGAAATATCTTTGCACTTACATACTTATTCAATATTTGTTTTTAACATATTTTGATGAGCCAATATGGTACTCTTTCTTTGTCTTATCTTTTTGTTTATTTATGAGTTGTTTTATTCTAAAGAGATTTTTGCCTTATTTTTGAAGAAATACGAAATCCTAGATGTCTTGGTTTCTTGTGTTTGATTACTTCTATGCTATTTGGTGATAAATAAATCTTTTAAATGTGAATTCATATGTGACTATATTTAAATAATAAATTATGTGATTTTAGCTCTAGGATAAAACTTTCACTCTGAAGTTTATGCAGAGAATACATGATATTCTTTTATGGTTGATGCAGAGATACATAGTTACCAATTATATTCATTCATCAGTACATAAAAATATATAATATAATAGTATGACTCTTTCATTTATTGCTTATATCACTAAAAAAAGAAATACTGTAAAAGAAAAGAAATTTGATCTTTAGAGAAGATTTAATTTACCTTATTGCTATAACTTACTAATTAATGAAAGTCCTAGTTAGTGACCAGATTTAGTTATCAATTCTTAGTCTTTAAGAAAGTAAAAGCTAATGAACAATTGTTGAGTCATGTACTTCTCATGACCAGTTCTAGGCAAATTATTGGAAGCCAGATTTCAGAAGTCTTCACTACCTTGTGCATAGTGCTTCTTTACCTTTTAAATATCCAGTCATATTTTGTTTTGCTATCCAGTGTTCTATATTGGTCTAGTTTGCCTTCCATTTCCTTAATATTGTGAAAATAGTATATACACTAGTTGGTCTGCAGAAGGATTAATTTAACCTTAATAAAAGCATACAACAAGGAGTGAATAACACTAATGCCAAGATTAACTCATTTAAGGGTATCACATGAGGTGAGATTTTGTTTTGTTTTGTTTTGTTTTTTAGTTGGGTGTGTCTGTTCATATCATATACATAATGATTTTAATGCCTACTTATGGATCAGTTTCTGTGATTTCATAGATTTGGCAATATAAAAATTAATTCTTATCTAAGAATTAGCAGGATTTCTTTCTGTATATGGTTTTAGATAAGACTGTTGAACCTTATAGGACTGAAAACAAAGCACTTGATTTGATTATAGTTATTTATATAGTATTTATTTAAATTTATTTTTATTATGGTATTTGTGAATAATTTAACTTACAAATATTTTAAATTTAATATACTTTTAGGAGCTACTTTAATTAAAGAGACTGGATTTGTATTTCCCCAATTTTTTTTTATTTACTTTAAACAAGTAAATAAAAACAGCATTAAAAAATCCATTTGTAAGGCTTTTAAAAATTCATTCATAAAATTCTATTTTAATTAAAAGATTTATGTCTTTATTTAAACTTATTAAAGAATAAATTTAGAAAGCAAAAAAGGAAGTCTATTTTCAGGTAACTTAATATACATTTGTTTAATATGTTGCCCCAAAAGTATCATTTTAAAAGCTTCAGTGGCAATAAAAATATGCAGAAAACTGTAGGACTAAATCATTCTTTTAAAATAGTATTAGAATTTTAATATAAGAATCAATGATTTAACTTCTCTTTTTTGTATAAAATTGATTGAAATGTGTAATTCCAATAGACAGTGAAACACTAAGTTTTTATATGTAACAACCCTAATTTTTCATGTCCATTATATATGACCACAAATCTGTAGAGAGAAATTTCTTCCTAGTACAGTGCACTCAGTTGTGCATACTTATTTTTTTAGGGTCAAAGAAGAATACAAACCACAACCGACACAGTAAGTAAATGTATTGAGTGCAGTAGACTTGACTTCTGTAATTCTGCCACATTCTGCTTCCTGCACCTTTGATGGTATTAGCTTACACTAATACTGGATAGGCTGCAGCTAGTGTGTCTTCTGCTTTCTGACTCTCTGGCTTGTAAGAGAGCTGCCTGCAGCTTCTTACTTCATCCACATAGTGACTGGATGTAGTTTTTTGCTGCCTGCTTGTGGACTGGTTAAGTGTTCAAACTTGATTTCCCTATATTCTGACTGCCTGGATGATAATTGGAGCTCACATTTCCATTGGCTGTAGCTTTTGTGCCTGTGTATTTTTATTATTATGGATAAGAAAACATCTAATCTACATTGTTATTCATTTGGTTATTCAGTTACATTATTTGCTTATTTAAACAGGTGGTTTCCCTTTAGTGGGATCACTGAACTGGTAAATAACGTTCTTCAGCCCCAGCAAAAACAACAAAATGAAAAGGAACCCCAGACGTAAGTAAGCTGATCTATATAGACTAAATATTATCTTTGATAGTATAACATATTTATAAGTATTTATTAAAATACTGCCCTTGGAATAAGAATAGTGTGCCCATATATAGGAAGATTGTTAGGGTAGATTTTTGATGTTTCTTTTTAAATTATTCCTTGGAAAAAAAAAATATATATATATACACACACAACACACACACACACATATACATATATAAATGTATATGTATACACACATATATAATATATATATAAAAGGAAGAGATATTTTTTCCAATTTTAGTGTAAATAATGTAAAACCATATTTGTCCATTAAAATATCTTTCTCCAGTAACACAGTGTATTACAGAATGTGCTGTTTTCAACAGACGTTCTAGAGGACATTAGAGAGGTACTAACTTCTAAATTCAATCTTTGGTCAAATAGTTTTGGAAAGGTTATTTTTAAAAAGTTAAGCAGGTTTATTTATTCTAATAATTCTGAAACCCCAAATATGCTTCAAGTATATTAGGACATATGCTACATAGTAAACTTTTTGACCACTGAATCTTCATTGAACAGTTTTGGGCTATAAAGTATAATTTGAGAAACATAGTAATTTATTCTCACATTGTCCTGAAACATTAAAAACATGTTAATTCTACTTCTTTTAAACTTAAAAAATTCTTTAAAAAGTTGTTCACAATTCACACTTATTCCAAAATTGTGTAAGAGAAAAGTAACAGGTCATTTTTCCTTATACCCTATTGACCCCGACTTGTCATAATGCTCTTAACTAAGTGCAAGGAAGTCTAGAATGTCTTCCCATGTTCTCAGGAATACAGGTAACCTCTTATATAATGAGCAGTAGTCATATCCACTATAGTTAGCTTATATTTGATTCTCATTTATTTCCTTAGGTGAAAATTTCATAATGCCCAAAGTTGAGATTTGCCTGAGAAATACCTTTTGCAAGAATAACTCTAATATTAGTTCCCACTGTTGGCATTGTTGGTTCTACTAAAATGCTTTAATGATTAGGATCAAAGTCTAATTTTTTAAGGATGAAAGGTTAGGGTTAATAACATGAAGATAATTCAAATATAGAAGTGTCCTCGGGAAGGGAATTTGCCATTTGCAGTGTTTCAAGGTATAGTTATTTTTATTAGTGGGATTACAGGTAGATTTTTGCCTTCTCTTTGGTGCCAAAGAAAAACTACAGAAGATTAAGAGCAATTATGGTGAAAATATATGAAAGCATACTAAGAAACTTTTGGTTTATCACTAGGGATGCTGTTATGGCTTAGGTCTGGAATGTTTCCCAAAGTCTCACATGTTGAAAGCTTAGTCCCCAATGCAACAGTTTTCAGAGGTGGGGCTTTTGGGAGGTGTTTGAATCTTGAGGGCTCTGACCTTATCAGAGAATTAATCCATTCATAGTTGAATGGACTACTAAGAGGTGGTGGATACTGTAGGCAGTGGGTCCTAGTTGGAATAAGTTGGTCACTGAGACCATGCCCTGCAAAGATTTTTCTTGTTCCTGGTCTTTTCCTCCCTCTGTGCTTCCTGGTTGCCATGAGTTGAGCAGCTGTCTTCCATTATATCCTTCTACCATGATGTTCTGCCTCACCTCAGGCCCAAAGCGATGGAACCAGCTAACTGTGGACTGAAACCTCTGAAATTGTGAGCCAAAAATCAATCTTTTCTCCTCTAAGTAATTTTTCTCAGGTATTTGTCACACTGATGGAAAGATAACTATATGGAAAATTAGTATGAGAAGTGGGGTCATTGTTGTGAATACACCTGATCTGTGGTTCAGAAACCTTTGGAACTGGTTTGTGAGAGGAGTTTGGAAAAGTTTGTAAATGCAGGACAGAGAAAACTTAGAATATTGCAAGTAGAGCTTAATATATCATTCTGATGTGAGTTTAGAAGATCAGAATGCCAACAGGAATGTAGATAGTAAAGACTGTTCCTATGAAATTTCAGATGGGTGTGAGGATAATTGGCAATTGGACTAGAGGCCACATGTATTACATTCTGGCAAAGAACTGGCCTACATTTTGTCCATGTCCTTTGTATGAGGCTAAATTTAAAGGTAATGGATTAGTTAATCTGGTGGAGGAAATTTCAAGACAGTACAACGTTAAAGCACTGGCCTTGGTATTGCTGGTGGCTTTTAGCCAAGTTTATGGCCATAATCAGCAGCAAAAAGCAGAGCAGAAAGATTGAAAAACCTTTCAGTTTGTCCAGAAAAAGGAGTATAAAATTGGGGCTAAGGAAGGTGTAGTTGCTGAAGAAGTTATGCCATTAAAGAGAAAGGAAGCTGGGCATGGTGGCACATGCCTGTAATTCTAGCAACTTGAGACAGAGGCAGGAATATTACAAGTTTGAGATCAGTTTGGGCAACTTGGTGAGACCCTGCCTCAAAAAAAAAAAAAAAAAAAGAAAAAGAAAAAGAAAAAAGGCAAGGCCGGTGGATTGGGGAGGGGGAGGGAAGGAGAAAGGAAGTGTTTTGTACCTAGTCCAGAAAAAGGAGTATAAAATTGGGGCTAAGGAAGGTGTAGTTGCTGAAGAAGTTATGCCATTAAAGAGAAAGGAAGCTGGGCATGGTGGCACNAAAAAAAAAAAAAAAAAAGAAAAAGAAAAAGAAAAAAGGCAAGGCCGGTGGATTGGGGAGAGGGAGGGAAGGAGAAAGGAAGTGTTTTGTACCTAGATAATAAGAAAGATATCTTGAAGGCATCTCAGGAATCAGCAAGATATTATCCATCTCAGGCTAAAGGATATAAAATTGAAAACTCATTTGAAAGACTTTGCTTTGAGAAAAGTATGCTGGGGCACCCTGCTTAGATGTGACCACCTAGGCAGTTTTCTCCCCAGTATTTGTTTCACTGTGCTCACCTGTCCAGGCACTCAGAAGCCACTGCAGCAGTGGTACAAGTGGGCTGCATTACAGCTCTGCTGGCAGCAGACCTTGGTGTCATACACATGGTTGTTTTGCAGGAGTTATAAGGTCATGGAGGTTTCCACCAGGATGTTAAAGAAAGGCCTGGCAGGCCAGGTAATTTGTGTCAGGGTCAGAATTCTTACAGGCAGCCCCTGAGAGGGCAATTCATGAAGGTGTGAGAGTGAAGCCAAAGTTGCAATGGAGACATCAAGAAGTAAGAGATAGGAATGTGGAACATTACTGAGGAAAGCTGAAGGTAGAGAACAGAGCTAGCCAAGAGAGAGGCCTTGTGGGCTGCAACTAGCAAGGCTGTTGGGCAGGTCCTGTACCAATCCATTGGGGCCCACATCTTGCCACCATGTCCCCTGGATGCTGAATGTGGATTTAATGTTTGCCCTGCTGGGTTTTCATTTTGATTTGATCCTCTCCTTTCTTTCCATTCTCCTATTCCCCCCTTTTTTTGGAATGTGCCATTTTATGTTGGAAATATGTAACTTGTTTTTTGATTTTTTTTTTTTTTTCGTAAGGGCTCACAGCTAAGAGTTTGCCTTGAGTCTCTGGAGACTTTGGACTTGGACTTTTGAGCAATGCTGGAACCATTAAGACTATTGGGACTCTAGGTGATAGACTCAGTGCATTTTGCATTATGAGATGGGCATGAGGCTTTGGGGTCCAGAAGTGCAATGTTATGGTTTGGATATGGAATGCTCCTCAAAGTCTTATGTGTTGGGGACTTGGTCCCAAATCCAACATGTTCAGAGGTGAGGCTTTGAGAAGTGATTGGATTATGGAGGCACCAACCTTATCAGTGGATTAACCCATTGATAGCTGAAAGGACTACTGGGTGGTAGTGGAAACTAGGTGGTGGGGCATGGTTGGAGGAAGTATGTACTTGGGGCATTCCCTGGAAGGGTTTTTTGTCCTCGGCACTTCTCTCTTTCTCCTTCTGTCTCTCTTTGTCTCTCTGTTTCCTGGCTGCCATGGTATGAGCAGCCTTCTTCCACCACACCTTTTTGCTATGATGTTCTGCCTTACTCAGGTCCAAAGCAATGGAGCCAGCTGGCAAGGACTGAAACTGTGAGCCAAACTAAGTCTTTCCTCCTATAAGTTGTTTTTCTCAGATATTTGTAACAGGGACAAAAAAATCAACACAGATGCTGATGTACAATAGTAAAAAAAATTAACACTTAACCAAAGAATCTTAAAAAGGAGGAGCAGAGATTTCAAAAAAATCAATCCTCTTTTGTTCTTGGGTGGAGGCTTTTTCTAAGAGTCATTGGTTAGCTGTTTTTTCCAAAGATCATGTTCATGTTCTTTTGGAGGATTCTGAAAACTCCATTTTAGGGTTTCTAGATGGACTTATTTGCAACAGCCCAGAGAAAAGGTTTCTTTTTAGTTGTGAAATGTGAATCTGAGAATCAACCTTTTGAAGCTTTTATTGAAGTGCTAATTGTTTACATGACTTATTGTAGTCTGACCTATCAAGAGTCCAGGGCAATTTTTATTTCATATTTCTTCAGAAGAGTTTAGGTTATAGAGAGTTGCTTATAAGAATATTTTTTAAAAAGACTGCTTGTATCTGTTGATGATAAGACAATGAATCACAGTGATTGCCTTTGTTGTAATACTTATATTAGTTTGCAATAGACCAGAGTCTACAGTCAGTGGTGAAAATTTGAAATACATGGGGGAAACCTGTTATTAATTCATAAGGATTGAGAGCAGATGAATCCCTAGAAGGGTTGATCTAATTGTTTTGAAAAATAATCACAATATAAATTGAAGGGCTTTTGAGAATATTGTCAATTTAATTTTAATTTTAGAATTCTACTTCTTATTTCTACCTTTTCTGAAGATTGAGGATAATATGCAAAAAAGGTTTTTCATGTAAGCTATGTACTTCTTATTGGTGCTTGATTAGTCAAAGAAGCTGATATGGAGTCACGAAGTGGTGAAGGCAGTTCCTGCACATAGATGTTTCCAACTTCAACACTTCAATCTGAATAATCTAGAATTGACTGCATCTGTTACCTTAGAACCTCCTTAAATTCCTAGTGGCTCAAGGCAACATAAA